GGCTTGCCAGCACGTCTACTGTCATTCCACTAACATTGCTGAAATGTCACTATAAAAAAATGCATACTCAACAACCCAAAATGTGGGCGCAGAACGCAAAGCTAGATGACAGTGTTCTTAACAGAGCTGCATGGAAGTAGCTGTGGTTTCAGGTTTTCGTAATAGTCTCCCAATCTGATGCGATTTATTCCTGAAGTAATTAGCAATCCCTGCGACTGGCAGCTAAGCTTGCCAAGAGCTTAGTCTATTAAGTGCAATTTTTCCAGTTTTTAGTAACGCAAACTACCAGAACCACTTCGATGCTACTTGAGATAGCACCTACGCCCTAACAGACGTGCATCGTAAGTATAGCCTACTGTACCTCCGGTTCGCATCACGACATGCCGTAACAGCTCTGTCTTTTATTACCCTATTAGATTGCATAACCGACAATTCAAGAGGTCGTATCGGAACACGGGCAGCTTGGCGCGACTGCTATCTACCCGACAATTTGCCGTGCTAAACGGGTCTCAAATCGGGCAGGCACAATGGCAATGGCAGTGGGTAAAGCGCCTTGCACACACTGATGGCTGGCCTGTGCGCGCCGTGACTCTGGGCTCTATAGAGTATGGTGCTTCTGTAATCATAAGACTTATCCATGCATGGATATAAATATAGTTGTAACAAGTAAAGTATCACATTGGTTCGGTGTGGCAAAGCGAAAATTGTTAGATACAACAACATAGGACGACAGCTTCGGTTTGCTACCGCCATTGCGACTGGGTTCTGTCAGCTAAGAAACCATAATATATGTGAGACGGTACAACATTTTGTAAGGATAGATGAGAACATCAAGGTGAACGAGATAACCACTTACTTTGTTAGTAATCAGCTGACCTGTGAATACGAGAATATATTCTGGAGCTAGTCGGCTGGGCCCATCACCTCCAGTCTGGGGTCGAGAAAAGAACGAACGAGGACAGCCTGTATAAAGATGAGACATTCTCTGAGCAACCAAACTCTCAACATTCACATACGATTCCGGATGGTTAAATACGACGTTTATTCTGTTTTGTTTTATTGCGTGGCATGGAAGTATGGACAATAAAAATGCCGCTCTCATGGGAAAGCTAGAGTATTTTAAGGTGTCAAGAATGGGTAAAGATCAAGAACTTTTAGCAACAATCAAACAACGTTAAGCAGCACATTTGGAACATATCAGAAGGAGATATAGGTAGGAGTAGCTTAAGGAGGAAGACAAATAGACTGGGTTAGATATGCAGACACTTTTAAGAAGAGCTGAAAGCAGATATGGATTTGAATTGGTTATATAGCAAACGTTTATTAGTGAATATAGTACTGCAAGATGATGATCTAGCCTTGAGGAACTCCTGGACAGGTCGTGAAAATGACCTAATGTTATCTTGGTTGATTACACTTCCTCCAATACAAAATTCAGAAAATATAACTTCAAAAGGTTACGTTGTGGTTTACCCTACCTTCAAAAACATAAGAAGAAGCTTTCATGTTATCTTCTTTGTTACATCAACTCTCCAACAAAATTTAAGTATACTCCGTCTGCAAGATCTGCATGAGTGGTGTTCTTCAGGATGCGATTCTCGAACTATTCCTTCCACCTTAGGAATCTTGATATATAATCGTCGTTCAGCGAGAAAATGCAAGCAGGGAAACGGTGAGGAGTGCAGATAAAACCATTACTTGTGTCGATATTGTCTGAGCAACTGGCGTCTTTACCAGATCCTTATCTAAACTGATGATAGTTTGCTCCTTTGAAATATTTAATACCAAAGCCAGCCTTTCGGTCGGTATTTACCATTCAGGTATCGTCTACCCAACACACGAAACAGCCTGATATCTCTTTTGAGACTTTCATCATGTCCGTGACTAAATAATGTCAATAGCTCTCAGCTGCCGATTACAATAAATAATTATGCAGTAATTTTCTGAGTATATGTATGCCGCGTAGAGACTGCTGCGTAGATTCAGTAATATTTTCAATGAATATATTCCAAATTACAATCCAAGAGCTAGATGTCATACATTTCTTTGCCTTGCATTCTCTCGCTTGCCCGATAATACCACTGCCTTTCTGGCAGAATTCTATCTCCATCCTAATGAATCCAGGAGGTATTGAGGTGGGATGATTTTTTTTCCTCCACCTCTCTATATGACGTTTTCCTAGAGCACCACACCTGATAGATTTACTATATCGCATTATGAGGTAAGAACTAAAACATCTCAGACTTGCAGTCAGCGATAACTTGACCTCATTTGATTGATGCACTTGTGTATGTGCTTGATATACTTTTTTACATCTTCAATATGCCTACTTCGTTTTGCAACCAATTATGCTACAAATCGATATTTCTGTAAAATAACATTAGCCCAATTTTATGAATTATTGAGAATTTTTTTAATACATTGTATATGTCAACAGCAGTAGCAATCGAAAGACGAACGTAAATATCTCATGTTTACTCTGACTGTATAGTAGAAGCAAACAAATAGTGGCAGTAATATTCAATAAAATATAAAGTATCATAAAGTATCTTTTGTTTACTATCTATTCAGGTCATTCCTTCCTGATAAAATGGCATTTTCCATGAAACTTGCCCGAGACATCAATAGTCATATCGCACTTGAAAACAATATGCAAAAAATAGCACAGTTATTGTTTCTCTACTTGGTTTAGATACTCAATACATAATACAACGTATATTTTCTCACATTCGTAGTAAACTTCTGGCAGTATTGTTTCCAACCTAAACATAGGATAGAATTATACTATATTCAAAGTCATGTCACAGTCGAGGAATGATAGAAGACAAAAGATCCAAGCGTCATCCAAAAATGAATCGCTTTCTTTGGTGTCGGAATTTCTCAGTATGAACCTCACATTTTTATATTATTCTAAATATGCTGCGAAAGATGAGGCTGAAGTTGAATCTGTTTGTCAACTAGTACTCTGGATGCACTTTTCTATACAGCAAACTGGTTGTATGTAAAATGATAGAAACATCTTGCTTTATAGAGTAGTAAAATTATGCTTACAACTAAAAATAATTATATTGACCTCACACACTTTTGAGACTGCATCAAGCAGTAATATTTGATATAAAATGTTCAGTTGGTTCTTCTCCTTCCATATTCATCAATACCAATATTATTATTTGTAAATTCATATTCTTACTTCCCATGTCGATACGCGAAGTATTGTAAATGTTGAAAATGGCATATTATGTTTGTTGGATCTTACATGACATCGCGGAAAACCATGCCACTCGTTTCCGTCGTCCTGTCTGCAGGTCTGTTTATGTGCTAATCCTCTCTATAACTTGGAAATTAGTACTCTGATTTTAATAAGATTGCCGACGGCGAAAAAGCATAGGAGCCTTGTAAGCCTCAATCGATCCAGTGGTGTTATTTGACATTTCAGAGCCTCCTGCAGCTCATTTTTATAAGACTATTTGCTGGTGTGAAAGGCGTTTTATTATTGAGCTTCTGATCTCTATTATACGACGTGCTTGTTAATAGTCATATATGCTTTTCATATATTTGCAAATGTTAGACACTTGGATGAAATGAAGTAATAGTTGATAGTTGCTCAAATACTATTTAGTCTGCTTCATTTATTTTCATTTTCTTGGTTCTGTTCAATGGTGCTATACTTAATAGGGGTTTCGATTTTTTCGTTTTCTCACTTCCTGCTGCTGCAAATGTTTTTGAATTTGAGATGTTATTTACAATTCCGTAAGTCCTGACTCTCCAAGTATTTCTTGGCTACTCTAACTTCCAGAGTACTATTTAGATTTAGGAGGCTGGGCGGCCGAGCGCTTAGCGCGTCGAACTACTAATCGGTCGACCCGGAGGCTTTCGGGTACGAACCTTCACTTCGAGAGTTAATTTTGAGCCATAGGTACTATTGTGTTGTGTATTGTCTATATCACGGACCAGATCGGTGCGAGATCAACATGGATAGATCGCATCGCTGGAGCTGGTTTATTCGTTAACCAGTTATCAGTAGATGACTTGTGGAGTAGTGCAGTGTTGGTACTACGTGGTCGGCAAAAAGGGCCAAAGGTGTGGCCTAGTTGCCTGGCTTCGCCTCTCCACCACTACTGAGACTACTACTTTCCCCTTAGATTTAGAGGTATTTTGAAGCAGCAGTTATAGTTCTCTTCTTCTTGTGTATCCGTCTACTTTATACAACGTTGGCAATGATTTCGGCAAATCGCTTCCGATTTTGTATGATTCTATAAGTGACTGTGAATTTAGGTCGGTCCAGAACAGCGACGACGAACAATGTCTTCTCCCCGGATCCCTTCTCCTTTCAATGTTAACCTACATTTTCAATCTTAGAAATTCATATCGTGTGCCTCTATGCACTTATAGTACCAATGACCGACCGTCTTTAATTATTTCCAATATTTCTCTGTCCATATCCACTTTTCTCAAAACGGTTTCTTTGCCCATGATCTTTTGAGCATTCTACGCATTATCTACGTTTCAATCGTCAAGAAAGTTTTGTTGTGATCCATAAGTTAGTTCGAAACAGCTTCAAAACTTCAACATAACCAAAAAATCTGTAAGTCGAAATTTCTGGTGCATTAAATTTGTTTCTCTCAGATAACCAATGCTTCATTATACTGTTTTACACTTCATAGTTCAAACTATATTTGACAATCTGGTTTATTCCAAATCACAGGCAGTCCAGTGGTGTAATGGTTAATGCTGTGCGTCTAGTAATTAATCTAGTCGACTTGAGCTTCGCAGTTCAATCCCATCTCAAGAGAATTTTTCTCTTGGTTATGGATGTTGTGATTGTCTATAAATGGTAGACGGCCTCCGACCATCGACCGTGGAGGTACCACCCGGCGGATCTATAAGATTAGGGCCAAAATGTCTGGGTCTTACTCCTGCGTGGTGGCTCACACTACATAACACTTTTCAAAGGAAATTCTATTTTTCCAAATAACTTTGCTTTGGAATTGGCAATGACAATGTATAATATATTCTTTTTTAGAAACTATAAACTCATCCACGTACCTAAAAATCCTTTATTGGCGTCTATAAGAAGAAATAAAATTGATGGTTGAGGACCAGAGACCAAACGTCATATTGAAATTCTAATTTATCATCTTGTAGAGAGAGTGGCAATAATAACTAAAAAATAAAAGCGATTCAGCTTCTTTCGTCTCCGAAAATACTGGGAATTGCAGAACAAGTGCAATTTTCTGAATGCACAAGTTTGCCCCAGTATAATCGACTTCGTATCTCTTACCGGTTCCGAGATGCCAATGGTGAGAGTCGAATTTGAAACATCCGAAATTAAAAAACTACGACCGGATCTCGACTCTTCGGCTAATTCTACCACACTATATCCGCCTAAATGCATGTTCGGTGTCAGCACGGGTGCACCACAACTGCACATTCGACATTGGGCCAGAGCAACGTAGCCGGTGCCCCGGTGCAGTTTGCGTATGTATCTTGCGGAGTCCATCGAATAAAAAAATTACCGGCAGACCTTGAATCGACCGCCGACGTTGTTGTTAAGAACACATGCCAACCGGTGTTGCTGCTACGTAATATCCGTATTTATCAACATTTAAACCGGAAATAGAACGTGGAAACAGTCTTTCCCTTCGAATAGGGCTTTCTTTGTTGACCGACATCTAAAAGCGGTCAGTTTTCGTCGGTTTACATTTGTAGTAGGGTTGATACACATTCACAGCAGCAGCAAGCTTCTTTGAGTGAACAAAGAATGAAAGGGATAACGTTGACGTGTTCATTTTTATATTCATATGTGTTGCATCTCATTTGGGTTGGGTGTTCCGTTGTAGATAGCGCGCACTGTTCAATTTTCAATACACAGCATGTTGATCAAGTACAAACTTCTTTTGATGACTCCAAGGCTCTCTCCTCACCAAAGCAACACGACTTCAACCCAATTTCATTTGTGTTATTATGACACTGTTATCAGTTCATGAAAGATTATGTTCAACGCAATCTAGACCCTCTGAGAAAAAAGGCAGTCGAACAAGTCCATAAAGATAGGCCAAAGATTCTCTTTCCCTGCCCTACTGGTAGTGCACCTCCTGCTACTCGGTCAGACGGAGCAGCGCGGCCAGAGCATAGGAAACACTATGCTGTCACACGGCAGAAATACGGGTGATACCGTACCAAAAATAGAACATCAAGGCCGGTGGCTAGATACCGGGGGTAGCAGCCATGGCCGGTAGGTACGCGATCCGTCTGTCGACAATATTTTTCTAAATTTTAAGGGCTAATGTACAGGGACATTTATGATGTGTGAAATATGTCTTAGAGGTGCGTAGAATTAACAAAGTTGGGAGCGTATAAATGTGCTAACATCAAAAATTGAGAGATAGAGAAATCAAAAGATCAGGGTCGATAAGTGTTTACATTTTAGAACATATGTTTTTTAGATTTCATTCAACATTTTTTCTTTTTATTTCAGTACTTGATTATTTTTTAAAACTCCAAAGCTCGCAATTTGACATCTATCCAAAATTCAACCATTTTGTATATTTAATATGAGTATTTCTGACAGACACGTCAAGAGATTTGTCACAGGGAACAACTTTTTAACCAAAAACTACTTCACCCCCTTTCACCCTCTGCCCCTTGGGTCACTCCCTTAAAAATTTCAAATGACAAGGCATATCGAGTAATAGCTTATTTGAACGGTCTTTCAAAGACCTATATTTTGACGTTTGAACTTTTAAATCAGTCGATTCGCTTTCGAGAAAATTAGAAAAATCTTTATCTTAATTTGTTCAGATAGAAAACAAAAACACGCGGAAATATTACTTTTTATTTCAATAAGTGTTCAAAATGTTTCTCGTACTTTTATATGGGGATGTCTGAGATATAGCCTACTGATTGTTTCTTATGCTGTGGTTTAGGGGTCATGACGTTTAGGCAACACGCACATCTACTACAATTGAACATGAGGAGAACGACAGCTTGACATTCTACAGAAAATCCTACACAATGTCAAAAAATATAATGTCACTTTTCAAGTTACATAATACCGGTGCGTGGGCCAGACTGAGCAGCAGTGTTACCAGGTCTACCGATGTTTCCGTAGATCTACCGATTTTGGTCCTGCTCTACCGAACTACCGATTTTAAAGCAAAATCTACCGAAAAGTGGACTTTTCTTTCAATTGAATAATTTTTTTTAGCGATAAAAAGAATCTCAAATGTACTATTATTATTCATACTAGACCAGATATATTTTTATTCTCTTTAATTCAGAATTCGGCCAGTATGAGTATTGATTGTGTTGCAGTCATTTTTTTTAGCGTGTGTTCACAATCTAGAATCAAGAAATGGCTGATAGTGACAGTGGTTGGTGGTGAGGGTAGTAGCACCGGCGTAGTAGCTAGAAAAAAAATTAAGTATGCCCAACATTATAAGGAAGACTGGGAAGAACTGCCAGATTTCCAAGGCTGGATTAAAAAAAGCAATAAAGAGCGCGATTATGCAAAATGCATGGTCTGTGATAAATATATTAATATCACAAGTGGAAGAGATGCACTTATAAGACACGCAAATGGGCAATTACATGAAAAGAAACTGCAAACCATAGCAAAACAGCCAAAACTGTTGTATTTGTATTTGCAGGTGCATCAAAGAAATTAGAAAATGATATTAAAGAAGGTAAAATTAATTAATTAATTTGAGAAGATTCGAGATTATATCGATTATTTTATTATTTCCAGGAGAAATTCGTTTGAGCGCATTTTTGGCCGAGCATAATTTGCCATTCCTGCTGATGGACCATTTGGCAAAGCAAAATTAGTAGATAATATGTCTGGTAAAAACATACAAAAATGAATCGGAAGACTGATTATCCAATATAGCTTACACATTTTTTATTTTATACTATTTTTCTGTTTTTATTAAGAATATCTTATTTTTAGTTAGCTGAAGTGACATATAAACTGTTTATTTTTGTTTGTCCTTCTGTTTTAGAGTATATTTTGAGTTAAATTGTTTTAAGTAAATGCCGTGATTTACTCTCCGGTACTGAATCTACCAAAAAACTACCGAAAAATTCCACACAATTCTACCCAAATATCGTCGACTCCACCTGGCAACACTGCTGAGCAGTGTGTGATATAAACTTACAAGAATTTAACATTAGTATTACTATTGGATCTAACAGACGTGTAATATTACCGTGAATATGAATGAAGAGGCGTGCATTTTAAACCAGCCAAAAATATTCCTTAACTTCAGCAGCGCGGTTTCCATTTGTAATATCAATTGCAACTTTCGTCATTAACTGCCATAAAAGGATTCGAATGTTTGCTTACTAACCAGATTCGATAACAGAATATTGGAATTGACATTCAGAATTGTCATGTAAAAGGTATGATGCATGTTAACTGGGACTATTTATACGCATAATGTAGAGATTGACTGAAACTAGGAAATTTCAGTACATGTTCGTTGTAAAGCGGGCCAAGGACAAAGACCTTCGTGGCCACTGAATAGCAACAAATACACCGTCGTATGTCTGTACATGTACATATATTAATTACATGCGACACATTGAACTATGCCATTTCCTTATGTATGCATTAAGACATTTAACGTAGAAATAAATCATTATAAACACAAATATTGGGAAACTTAGTTTATTCAAACGATTACCTAATGAGAAAAGATTTGCATTCCGTTACATTTATGGACCAAATTTACAGCATCTTATATTTCATTGTCTTTCTTGCGTCTGCTCCAGTGACGGATTTAAAGGGGGGTGCCCATAGTCGCGGCCAGACTCACCATTTTCCATTAAATTGGTAGATATAGGACCTAGAATCTAGACGGTCAGGCCAACTAAGTGTTCCTATAAAAGGTGTAATCAACCAAGGTGTATTCGCGCTTAGAAGCGCTGCTCAATCGCCCCCCTTCGCTCCCTCCGGCATTAGCTTTCAACAGCTACACTAAAAGATGCTATTGAGTTAGCCGAAACAATATTTGGTTTCATTTGCCGATCGACACCCTAGTCTTGAAAACGACAAAATAAGCGTGGTTCTCCTGCCATCCGGGGAGCCATATTCCTGAACACTGACTGCTAGAATAGTCTCTACCCATTCTCGGGAGAGAAAGTGCAGAATTCTCGCCGTTGTCCATCAGTCTCACATCTAAAGACGAAATTAGGTTTGTGATGAAATGTTTAATAATATGAAAATCTCAGAGATACATTAATTTTGCCGAACATTGAGATGTATTAGTGCCAGATCAAGTCTTCGGTGATCCGAAATGACCGACTCTTCATTAGAACTCGGTCATCCTTCGAAACCGAATGAGCGCGTTTGTTTGACAATTGCAGCAGCTGTTCTCCAGGAAGCGTTCGTTCTATTCTACTGCGCTCACGAATTACAATCCAGGACAATGTGGAGCTGGATAGAAGAGACAGCCACAGAATAAGTTTCAGGAGTTACATTAACTGAAATGGTTTAAAAAAATTATTCACTGTTCCATTCGCAGTTCCTGAAGATCCAATGTTTCGCATTGAGATAAATATCTGAAGTATCTGTATCGCAATTTTTGATGTTAGTATATTAATACACTTCCAACCCCGGTAATTGTCCGCACCTATTAGACATATTTCACATACTATATGTAATCGATTTTTCCGTACATTTGCCCTTAAAAAATGATTTCTCTTAAGACGGAAGACTCTTATAGAACAAGTTTATTTCCGAGTTCGTCTTTACTGAGGTTGTTTCCCGCCACATTGCTATCGCGCGGCTATCTAGTATTACGAGGGGACTTGCATTTGTACGGATACCAGGGGTAATCTAGTAGTAGATTAGAGTTTTTCCATCCTACTGGGTGAGCACGGTAGCTTTGAAGTTTTCTTAAATCGCTCCAGTGGCGGCGAAGCTAGGAACAAAAACGAACAAATAAAAAATCCGTTGAAGCATGGTCCAAAACTCGTGAAAAGCAAAAACCAGATATTTCAAAGTATCTGCAAATCAAGTGTTCGTGTGTGGAAACGTTGA